AGGCTGGTGAAAAGACTCAAATGACTGCTCAGAACACAGATCAGCTATGTGAGAGCAGGCACGTACATCAGACTGACCTTTTCAAGTCCTTGAAGGTCATGAAGAAGAAATCAGGTTTGCCAGGATTTAATTAAAAAGGGAAAAGATATCATCTCTGTGTAATGGCGGTATATAACTGGATGTAGGGAATTTCTCAAAAGGAGATGTTAGGCAGAGTGTCTGAGCTGCTCAGTGGAAGTATACACTGATCTGGGATTTCAGAAAAACATCACAAACACCATGTTGTCCATGCAAGTCTTATAAAGCCATACAATAGCTTTTTATTGAAAACCATGCCCTCTGCTGTATCGATGACTTCTTCTTCGACTTTTTCGATGACTTCTTTGAAATGTGCACTTCTCCATAACCAAACTTGTCGTACAAAGACTTGTCATGCCAAGTGGATGCCAAACTCCATTGGTTCTCACATAACTTGCAACCAATCAAGAGACTGAATATGTAGATGAGGTTCAAGAGCTACTTTAGCAATGAATAGCTTTCAGTCTGTTAAGGGTTTGTAGTTAATTAAAACAATAAAATTAAATAAACAAACATTTTCCTTACTTAAAATGAAATAAAAAGTAAAAAACAATGAATAAAACCACTATATAGACATATTTGTTTCAAAATTATTACATTTCTAAAGTAAAATTTAAATTAAAATGGAAAACACAAAAATGAAAACTAATTCAAAATATTAAATATATATATATATACACTGGTCTGTTAACACAACACAGCACATTTTTAAAATTTCTATGGTACTTTTATGTTGATTTTTTGTTTCTGAAGCTTCACAGGCAATGTAAACAATGTACACGTTCACCCTACGGAAAAGAGTGTGAGTGAACATTCTTCAAAACTTCTCCTTTTGTGTTTCACGGAAGAAAGAATGTAATACAGCAACAAGAAAGTGAGTCCATAATGACAAAATATCTATTTTGGGTTAATATATTCCATTAAACAAATGGGAAATAATGTTTGTATATTATTTCATTTATGATTACACTTTTTCCTTGTTATGGAGCATTTGATTTATGATTTGAGCATTAAATTATAGATTTATTTATGACAGGTTTATACTGGGTTGATAATGACAATTAAATATCAGACACAAATTATTTTTAATAAGATTTTTTATACATGTTCATGCTTCCCCAAATGAGGAAATGACATTGCATTTGAATATTTGATTCCTCATTTGAGAAGCCATATTGAGAGTTTGGTTTATTATTTGATCATTTGATTTTTTTATTTTAATTTTGTTAGGAAAAAACTTCCATACTTATAAAACGAATAAAAACTCTTAATTGACTACTGTACTGTACGGGTTATGGTTAGTTGTTTGTAATTATGCATAACTGATTCTTTTTACTAAAGTAAGTATGTGTAACGTGTAATTACGTCACCTTAAAATAAGGTTTGCTTTGACCCAGCGTTTGGGTTGCTTTGACCCAGCGTTTGGGTTGCTTTGACCCAGCGGTTGGGTTGCTTTGACCCAGCGGTTGGGTTGCTTTGACCCAGCGTTTGGGTTGTTTTGACCCAGCTGTTGGGTTGCTTTGACCCAGCGGTTGAGTTGCTTTGACCCAGCGGTTGGGTTGCTTTGACCCAGCATTTGGGTTGTTTTGACCCAGCGGTTGGGTTGCTTTGACCCAGCGTTTGGGTTGTTTTGACTCAGCGGTTGGGTTGCTTTGTTGTTTTGACCCAGCGTTTGGGTTGTTTTGAACCAGCGGTTGGGTTGTTTTGACTCAGCGGTTGGGTTGCTTTGTTGTTTTGTCCCGGCGTTTGGGTTGTTTTGACCCAGCGGTTGGGTTGTTTTGACCCAGCGTTTGGGTTGTTTTGACCCAGCGGTTGGGTTGTTTTGACCCAGCGTTTGGGTTGTTTTGACCCAGCGGTTGGGTCAAAACAACCCAATAGCTGGGTTTGTCCCTTTTTAACCCAGCGCTGGGTTATATTTAACCAACATTTTTTATAATGTAATGAATTCCTCATATAGGATGGCTAAAGCAGCTTTGTATGCCATCACAACATACAGATAGTGTTGAGAAGGTTACTTTGGAAATGTAATAGGTTACAGATTACCAGTGACTCTATTTAAAATGTAATAAGTAGTGTAACCATTTCAATTACATACTTACGTAACTTTCAACATAACTGATTACATTTTCTACATTTCTAACAAATGTTTTCAACTGTTAATTATTCCCAAACATTTAAAGCAGGCAGGGTTAACCATACAGTTCTCAACACTAATTACTAGTGTTGTTGTTAGTCAGACTTTCAAATCCTTCATCACTTGAATTAAGATCATAATAATTTAATTTTAAAGCACAGCCACCACAAAATCAGACTTTAGCACCTCTTTTTCCTTTGAGATCGTTCTGAGCATATATAAGATTTAAAATCATAACAAGAAATAGCAAATATTAATACAAGAAATATTCAGATGTAACCCCTTTGTAATCAATAACATTTCATAAGTAACTGTAATTTAATTACAATTTTTTCTCAGTAACTTTAACAAATTACGGTTACATTTATTTTGTAATTATATTATGTAACACCTTTACATGTAACTAGTTACTCCCCAACGCTGCATACAGAACTAGAATCAATGATCCGACTGAAATTGAAAATAACTAATTTTTGTGTGCCTGCACCATATGTCTTACTTGGTTCAATACTGAGGGCGATGGTAAATTTATCAGGCCTGATTTACAGCCGTGTGACCCAACACAGAATCAATGCACTGCCGCAGCACACAGCCCATGTTTAGATGCTTGTTTGTGCTTTGTCTCAATAAAGTGATGAGTTGATGTGTGCTTTCAGGTAAATCGTGTCATGTTTTTCCTCTGTGTGGAACACATCGAGCAATGATAACAAACCTGATTCAGCCTGATATGCATGTGTGAGCTAACTGAGTATCATTGCCTTTTCAGTCTATTATATGCATACTGGGATATTCATATAAAACAGCTTCTTGCTAAAACCATGATTTTTGTTTTAATGAAATTAAATATCTTTATTTGACAATATATTTATGTCATTTTGTATGTAATCTTTTGCACACGTTTGATGACGAAGTGGGTCGTGTCCTCTTTTGGAAGACCAAACAAAGTAGTTTCGCTGTCAAAACGAAACAGCGTCACACACCGCGGCCTTGAGTGAGCGGCAGCGGGCGGGCTAGAGAACGGCGCGGCCGGCAGGCTTGTGGCAACCACATGTGACGACCCCGGGCTGGACTCCGCTTCGTCCACGGTGAAAGCCGATCCGGTGATCCACAGCGCAAAGTTTAAGTATTTCCTCAGCGACCAGCACGGATCAACTCCAGGCATGACGAAGCAGATATCGTCCTCTTTTGGAAGACCAAACAAAGTAGTTTCGCTTTCACAACGAAACACGCAGTGCCTTCACGACATGGTGGCGGCAACAATACTACAGCGAGAATAAAAGTTACGCCTTCTTTCTTTGCGTGAACATTTGGGCGGTGTTATGCAAATCTTCCCACACAGTGACGTAGACATGGGGTCGTGTTCGAACGAGCCGTTTTAGGAGGACGTGATTGACTCTTAACTTTTATAAAGAATATCTCTTTGGATTTGAGACTTTAGTCTTTGCAACTTTACAGATCTTCTTTATGCACCAAGAGCTTGTAACACTCCAAAGAGAAAGGAAAAATTGAAATCGCATCATATGACCCCTTTAACTCAAATGTAACATTTCAGTTGTTTTTCTGTTTATCAAAGCTGAGTTAAAAATATATTTAAGAATTTTGAATTTAAAAAAAAGAAAAACATTATTACTGTCCTGAAACAACAAAGAGGCTAATTTTGAAACATTTTGGTAACACTTTATTTTAAGGTCTTTTAACTAGTTGCTTATTAGCATGCATATTACTAGAATATTAGCCATTTATTAGTACTAATTAAGCACATATTAATGCCTTATTCTACATGACCTTATTCTACATCCCTAATCCTACCCAATACCTAAACTAAACAACTCCTTACTAACTAATAATAAGCAGCCAATTAGGAATTTATTGAGGGAAAAGTCGTAGTCAATAGTGAATAAGTGTTCCCTATTCTAAAGTGTTACCAACATTTTTATAGGTTTCACAGTTGCTTTTTTTCATCATATCAACATTGATCATTCTTGTATTTTCACAACCATTGCATCAACTCTGTTACCCAAGTTTTAAAGAATTTATTTGCATTTTTAAGCAAAATTTAAAACCTTAAGTAGACTGTGAAGAGCTAACAACATTAGACCAACAGATTTGATATTTTTTTAATGTGTTGTTTGCAAAATATGATTATTTTGTCAATAGCGTAACAACTTGGCTGCATTTGGAATCACATACTTCCAAATATAGTTTCAATATCTTTAGTTTTTTCTCTTTTATTTATGTATGTATGTATGCTTATGTTGATATTTCAAATAATGCCGTTGAGTAGACACTCATTTGGATACTGTCTTGTATTCTCAATACATGTTGGCACATCAATCCAAAAAATGTTTATGTTTTCAGCCCTGTAGCTTGTTTAGTCGCAGTGCTCGAGAATCAGTGCGCAGTGTTCTCTGAGCTGTGTGGATTTCCAAAACCTACGATCAACATGATTACACATGTCTCTTGCAGGTATTAGAGTGAAGCTCCTCTCATAAAACGCTCATTCCCTTCAGCTGTTGCCCATGTGCTCAATCACGCCAGAGAGGATGAGCTCATTTATTCTGGTAAACACACATTGTCCACGTTTTTCAAAGGAGACCCTGCAGGCTGCTCGGAGAACATTCACTGGTGCAGTCATAGGGGGTGGAGTCGAAACTTGATGTGCATGTGAAATTATGGTGGGAGGAGTTACACCACAGTCACTTGATACAAGGGATGACATCCCTAAAATAACCCTGCAAAGGGTATATAGGACCCTGCTTTAACCTTCACTGTCAGAAGAGCAGAATGTGCACACCGTGCAATAAAGTTGATGAAACAAGTGATGATGGGACAGATAAGCTAACAAAACTTCACAAGAAAACAAATCCCCTCACCAAGGAACAGATTCCTCTGGAAAAGTGACATTATTTCGGGCTTGAAGCGGATTGTAAACACTGAAGACAGTGTGAACCCAAAGTGAAGGTTCAAGATCCCCCTCCCCCAAAAAAAGGATTTTACTCCTCTTGAGCCTAAAGCTGAGGGGGAGGCAAAGCCGTGGCGTCTGCGGGAATGAAGTACAGCTACCAGTACCCGGTGTCACAGTACACACGCTCCAACACACACTACACTTCCACTCATTACACACCGTCACACTACTCCAGCAGCTCATACTCACCTGGCTACTACAGTCCTACAAAGTACAGCCCTACTACACTCCACACACCATCATACTACACTCCACCGGCTTACACACCTGCGTACAAGCCCACCTCCACTTACACCCCCATCTATAGCAAGCCGTCCCGGCAGAGCAGCTTGCCCCGGACAAGCGTACAGCACACTCCTACTGTAGTCCTCAAACCTGCCCGGGCTGTGCACTTCACAAATGATGTCGTATTCCAGGATTTAGTCCGACACAGTGAGCTGGAACAGATCGGTCGGTTTATGAGGGCGAGGAAAGTGCGTCTGGACACCATCTTCCATTCTGGTGAGTGAACCTCACCTTGCATACATCCAGTGCAAACAAATTAATTCACTTGTATCGCCAATCCCGAAACTCAGAGGTGAAGTGTGTTAAATTGAAGGAAGTAGGTCGACTTCCTATAGAGTGTAAACTCTTTTATGGTGTGATTAAAACATAGATCAAACATAGCGGTCTGACATGTCAACTTCTGGCTCAACCAATGGTAGGAAGTTGGGGCAGGGCCAGTGGGGGTCAAGGTTAAGCTTCGGCATTTATGGTGCATCTAAGTCATGTTGGAAAAATAATATTTATGTGTTGATTGCACATGAACGTCCCCAAAAAGTCAATGAAAACTCAAGATTTTCTTGGGGGATGTCAGTGGGAAAACATGTTAAACGCAATGGATGCAGCATCTGTATTGATGGTAAATTTGTTCAAATTAATATATTTTTTTCATTTATTATGTAACTCAGTTGCATGTACAAAATAGCATCAAATTGTACAATTATGATAGAATGTATAACGATTCACAATGCAAATTTGATTTTGTAAATCCTGTTGAATTTTATGCACAAAATGTACCTAACCATCTTGCTCCGACAAAGTTATTTGAACGTAATTACGACATTTCATAAATACGAACTTCCTAGGAGGACTTGAAAGCACCATTAGCAATAGCAGATGCTGTAAATACAAATACTCCTTATAGGTCTATTCAAAATGTGTTAAATTGAAGGAAGTAGGTCGACTTCCTATAGAGTGTAAACTCTTTTATGGTGTGATTAAAACATAGATCAAACATAGCGGTCTGACATGTCAACTTCTGGCTCAACCAATGGTAGGAAGTTGGGGCAGGGCCAGTGGGGGTCAAGGTTAAGCTTCGGCATTTATGGTGCATCTAAGTCATGTTGGAAAAATAATATTTATGTGTTGATTGCACATGAACGTCCCCAAAAAGTCAATGAAAACTCAAGATTTTCTTGGGGGATGTCAGTGGGAAAACATGTTAAACGCAATGGATGCAGCATCTGTATTGATGGTAAATTTGTTCAAATTAATATATTTTTTTCATTTATTATGTAACTAAGTTGCATGTACAAAATAGCATCGAATTGTACAATTATGATAGAATGTATAACGATTCACAATGCAAATTTGATTTTGTAAATCCTGTTGAATTTTATGCACAAAATGTACCTAACCATCTTGCTCCGACAAAGTTATTTGAACGTAATTACGACATTTCATAAATACGAACTTCCCAGGAGGACTTGAAAGCACCATTAGCAATAGCAGATGCTGTAAATACAAATACTCCTTATAGGTCTATTCAAAATGAGCTTAAAGGGGTCATATGATGCGATTTCAAGTTCTCCTTTCTCTTTGGAGTGTTACAAGCGGATTGTGCATAGATAAGATCCCTGAAGTTGCGAAGACTAAAGTCTCAAAACCAAAGAGATATTCTTTTGAAGATTAAAGCATGTCAACATATTCTGTTACACCAAATACACAAAATAATGATCTTTTAAAAAAGCATCATATGACCCCTTTAAACACGGTTTTAACAAAAATTCAATAAAAAAAGGTGCAAAATTTTACTTTAAGGAGAATAATAGTTTGTCACTAGAGCAGTGCCCTTAAAGAGAGAACTTTTTACCTTAGAGTAGTGTGCACCTATAAGGTACTACTAAAACTTTTTCGGGGTACAAAGATGTCCCTTTGAGCATACTGCCCCAGTGACAAGCTGTTGTACTCCTAAAGATACCGTTTTTCTGAGAGTGTATATTGTTGTAGATTTTTTTGGCTTATATTTTTATATGTTAGCATCAAGGAGTTCTAATATAGAGTCGCATGAGGGCTCAGGTGATTGGTTAAAAAGTTTTCCAGAAATTATTGCATATGGTGGAAGAATTCAAATCACAGATTTCCATAGCTGTATGCACCAGCTGAGCAACTGGCATTAAGATGAATGGAAACATAAATGGATAGCTCTCTCAGGTATATTAAACCTCCTTGGGAAGCACGTTTGCCAAATAATGGAAAATTCTGGAATGTTTTGGGATTATTTTGCAATTATGTTTGGTGTGGCACAGAAATGACACACTTAACTTTGAAAATTAATAAATGGTTTTTGATTTGTCTGTTTAGGGAGAAAGAGTTCAAGCTTATTGCATTTGTTTGAGTCTGAGGTATTTTCTGGAAAGGTTTAATCTCATTGAGCAGCCCACCCTAACAAAAGCTGGCTTTTTCTCAGGAATGGCAGCACTCCATGAAGCCGTGCTCTCAGGAAACCTGGAGTGTGTGAAGCTTCTGATAAAATACGGAGCTGACGTTCATCAGAGGGATGAGAACGGCTGGACACCACTTCATATGGCGTGCAGCGACGGTTATCCTGAGATTGCACGGTGAGAGCAAACTTACACGCTCGTACTCCTACAAGCAAGTCTGAAAACCAACTAGTATTGCAGTAAATTAAAACCTTTGTTTTAATTGTACATGAAAACCATGGCAGAACTTGAAATAACATATTTAACATTTTTTATTTAATTGGCCTACATTTTTATTGTAGCATTGGGTTAAGGAACAGAGCCAATAATTATAATAGCTTAGCATTCATTTTATCCCCCTTGTGAAAAACATGCTTAACTTGTTTTGTACTTCAAATAGAAATAAATATTCAGACAATAGAAATAAATATTAAATTACGTTAAAAATCTTACTTAAGTCCTGCTTATAAGAGGGCCAAATAAGCACTTTAAATTTCAGCTAAAATATCAAATGAAACAATAAAACATTTTCATTTAATGGCAGTTAACGTCAATTAAGTGTCCAAAAACATTAGTTCAGTTGCACTAAGTATATTATTTCTATTATTTCAAGTATGCTAAAGTGTACGTCTTTCTTCTTTATCAGATTGCACATTATCAGATTGTTAATGTTTGCTAAATTAGTTGTATTAAAATGTTAAAAGTAATTCCTCCTTCAGATACCTTCTCTCTCTGGGTGCCAGCGTGGAAGCAGAGAACGAAAACGGAGAGAAACCAGCGGACCTCATCGACCCAGACTGCAAAGAACTGCTCAAGCTCTTCGAGACAGGCTGTGTCTGAGTACTGACCCGCAGAAGAACTTGCTAGTTAAAGCCAGCTTTCAAAAAACATTCAGATCACTCTCCTGAGCTTCGTGTTTTGTGTGGTTCTCCTGAATATTCTGAATATTTTGTTTTTTTGGCTTTTAGCTAGACACAACATTATTATGCAGTACAGATTAACACTAAACCCTGCATATCTGTTTGCTTTTAAAGTCAACGTGAAGTGGCTTAACCTTAAGTATTTCTGAGTGAAACATGATATTGAATGAGAAGAAATGAAGAGTGGGACTTTTATCCATTGGGCAAAGAGTGGATTAGGAAAAGTGGGTGTATATAGCGCAATGCACACTCTTAAAAATAAAGGTGCTTCAAAAGGTTCTTCAAGCGATGCCATAGAAGAACCATTTTTGGTTCCACAAAGAACCATTCAGTCAAAGGTTCTTTAAAGAACCATCTCTTTCTTACCTTTTTATAATCTCAAGAACCTTCTTTCGCCACAAAGAACCTTTTGTGAAACAGAAAGGTTCTTCAGATGTTAAAGGTTCTTTATGGAACCATTTAGACAAAAAGGTTCTTCTATGGCATCGTGAAGCACCTTTATTTTTAAGAGTGCAGTCCGATTTTTGAAGGTTTTCTAATGTCAGACGAGGTGGAGCAAGTTATTAAACTTTGATAAAAAAAAAGAAAGAAGACAAATGGAATAACATACACAGTACGACCAGGAATGTTTATGTAAAACATGCATGTGTCAGAACATGCGCCTTGCTAACCGTCGCTTTCTTCATCACGGTAGCACCATATGTTCGCACAAACCGGCATCTCTCAATGTTTACAGACAGATCTTCTCTGTACGCCATCTGCACTTGTTCTTTTTCACGGCTGTGTTAAACATACTTTTGCACCAGGGGTCTCTTTGACATGCTGTTGATTTTTTTATGTGACAATGGATACAAACCTGTTGATGCAAAGAGATGCTTGCTGAGAACTGCACACACCAGAATGAAGCGTGGTGCCGTCTGTCTGTCTGCTGGGCAGCAGGAGAGCACAGAACCAGAACCTGCTGTCAGACTCGCATATGAAGAAATACTGAGGCTTTGTGCACTACTGTTAAAAGTGAGGGCACTACTGACATTTTGAATGTCTCTTGTCAAAGTCTTATCTTTTTTTTTTTTTTTTTTACAAGGTTTTCATAAATAAAGCTGCTTTTATATAAACACTGAGTTGTGATTTGCAGCAAACCTTTTGAACATTATAACAAAGTTCCTAATACTGCATAACGTATGAATGAATTATGTTTTATTTTGACCTTAAAAAGGTTATGATTTTCAGCCAGAGCCATCATTTCAGCAACATTCACTGTTGCCAAGTAGAATTCAGAAATCAAACCAGTGAAAATCTGTATTAAAGTTTAAAGAAAAAAAACTTTGTTTTTCACCAGCTAAACACGATCGAGGAGGAACGATATTTAATCATTTGTGTTATGCACCCATAAAATAAGACACAGTAATAAACGTCAGTATTTATCAACGTTCATTTACTAAAACATCCTGATAATATGTCACAAAAATATTTTTACCAGGAATATTTGGTTACACTTTATTTCGATAGTCCACTTTAGACATTCTATTAACTATAAGTAACTTTGTAAATACATGTCAACTAATTCTCATTAATTTGCAACTACATGTCTACTAACTCTCAGAGTAGACTGTTAGGGTAGGTTTAGGGTTAGTAGAATAAGTTGACAAAGAAAGTGTTAGAAGATATTAAGCAGACAGTCTACTAATACTCTACTAACTGCTAGTTGACATGTAGTTGACATGTAGTTGCAAAGTTACTTACTGTTAATAGAATGTCTAAAGTGGACTATCGAAATAAAGTGTTACCGAATATTTTTCCTTACGTAAATCACACGTGACAGTCCGAGGGGGAGTGGCCTGCGTTTTTACAGCCAATCAGAAACATTCTCTGTCAATTGTTTTGCATATGTGTGCATCTTCAGGGGCACATTCAAGCTCAAACCGGTGCGCAACGTTTTGCTACGGTTTCCGGGTTGAATGACATGTTTCCTAGAAACGGTGTGCAACGGGGTTTGACATACGTTTTCTCTTGTTTTGGTGGGTGTGCGATGTCAGCCCGATCAGCAGCAACATGTATATAAACCACGCGGTATTAAACCCACGGGGTGCGGCGGGGGGGGGGGGGGGGGGGGGGGGCCTGAGGGGGCCCCTCGTCTCCATAGCGGGCACCCTGATTTTAGTCGGCGAGGCAAGGTACTGCCCTGGGAAGGTCTCCCAGGCTGTTAAATACACAGATTAAAAGCGAAATGTTTTCATTTCTGTTCGTTCTTAGCAAAACAAAATTTTTTTTGTTCAGGTTATGGAGAGCGAAATAAGAACGGTGCTGCATTTAGAAAGAATTCTTATTAACTTTGCTATTATTCTTGAATTTTCAAACTGCTAACACTTTGCACTTTGCAGTTTCGAATTATGCCTTTACTGTATGACCAACAATTACGGAGTAGTCTGTTTGATGTTTCAGCTGTTTGATCGCGCCGGCGCCTCGCGCACACACTAAGCTACTGCATTCACTGGAAACAGCAGCCGTTCACCGTGCTGTTCGGCGTGAGACCCGCTCCACTGTGGCATATTTTTGCTCATTATGATATTTTTCCGTCGATACTGGAACTACAAAGCCTATTTGACCTAATAAGGCTAATAGTTTAGCTTCAGCTACATCATGAATATGGACACATTTAGATTTGTGCCTGAGAGAAGTAAGCCCAACTTTACCTTACGTTTCTTTATAAATTAATTTGTTTTGGCATGTTTATTGCTAAGCATATATTATTATATACTGCAATTATATTTATCCATTAGAATTATATATTTTTAAATTC